TAACCCTGTTCCAAGCCCAAATGACTTGGTTGAACAAATCTCAATCATTTTTTCCCATGTCACGAATGATCAATTGTTGGAGTTATTCGTCTGAAGGTTCATCTTCCAGAGGGTAACCTAGTTGTCGTAGGGCCAAGGTAGGGTTTTAATTAATGCAACCTCGTGATCCGATCAATGGAACATTAGGAAAGTCCCCACAACTATAGATAATATCACCAATGTCCATCTTGCTTGCATACCATAGTACAAAATTAGCAGTAAGAGACCTTAATTTTTTAGGCCAATCATACCTTGTCAGGTTCGGAATCATGTAATCTTCCTTGTAAAGATGAGTCATAAACCAGGAATATAACAGTGGAATACAACAATTTAGAGTACCCCTTCTTTTTTCGTACCGTGTATGAAGTGTATAATAAATGTCAGCAAGCAAAGTGGGAGTTTTATTCGTATTAAAAGCTTTTGTGCCCCAAAACACGCTAATAGTTGCAGGGTCAATATAATCCAAAGTCCGTGGAAATAAGATTACACCGAATACAAGCAGTTCTAAACAATCAATACAAGACTCTCATTCTTTGTTATTAGCAAGATCAAAAGCCTTAGTCTCTAAGTAGCATATCTTAACCCCTCACACGTTACCTTCTTTCTTGTAATTAAGTGAGAATTCGGGATAAGGGATCCCTAAATCTTCAGCCAAGATTTTGACATCGATAGTCTGCCTGATACCCACATAAGCCTTATCTTTAGAAAAGTTCAGAATTCTATCAAATTCTTCCAGAGTCGATGTTAGCTGGAAGTCTTGAAAGGTGAAGCATCTCAATGGAGGGTCATAAAACTGAATTAGGGCAGAAACAACATTCAATTGTACCTCTACTTTGGTTAAGTCAAGGGTATCCCCATAACAACGAGTGAACATCTTCAAGGCTTTTTCAGATAATTTCCCTTTTATGGCCTTGATTTTTGACATATCTGGCTTGATGGCATTGATGCAGACAATTTGTTTCCCTTTGGTATTCATTTTTCAGGACACTCACCAAAAAAACCTTTTGTTATTACTTTTTTTATTAGCCCTGTGAATAAGACAAACAAAAAATTAGAGGGTAATGAATATATGAAATCCATAAATGTATGAATGCATGGATGTATGGCTTAATGATGAGATTTTATGAATGGTACCCTTAGAAGGTAGGCTCCTATTTTTGGCCTAGGGATAGTCTACCCTTCCATAAGGTGGTTTCCTTAAGGGTATCATGAATAACACTAGAGGGAAAGTCACAAGGGCCTCCCTTAAGTGGAGCCTCTTTACAGACCGAAACGTTCGTCTCTAGATCATGAAAGGTCTCATCATGAGATTTTGGTTTAAAGGTTGTACAAAGAGTCATATGTGTCATTCCAAAGTCCTATTTTCTAAGAGGATGTCTCTTGAGAGGTATTCCTTTTTCTAAATTCCATCGACTCTAGGCAAAGTCGTCACATAAACTCATAGGGATGACGTATCCCCTTGACTAATAGACAGACCTTCTTTCTAAGGGTTTTTGAAAATATTTTTTGCAAAATTTAAATCGCACCACAAATATAATAATATGACAAAAATACCAATAAATAAATGAATAAATAAATAATTAATTAATTAAACAAAAATAAAAACCCAAAAACCAAAAAAAATCTAAAACCAAAAGAAAAGGCTACTAGACCCAGGGTTGAGTCCCCAGCAGAGTCACCAGTTGTTGTAACTAGTTTGAAAATTCAGAGTCGCCATCCTTAATTTTTATCTTAAGGAAGGAAATATAAAGTTTAACCCTAAAAAGTTAGAGATTCTAGGTTTTTGGACTCGGTTTTAGACAAAGGGAAGGTGTTAGGCACCCCTCATCTACCTTGTTCACAAAGATACTAGGGTTAGAAGCGCAATCTTTAGAAAAATAGGGTTTTAGTTTTTTATTAGGAGAAACTCGCCACGATTTTAGTCGTATGCCTATGTATCCTCTTATGAGGAATCAGAGTCTCAATTCATAGTTCGTAGTTGATGTGTGTTTTTTATGGATTAGGAAGACATTTGGATTTCCCACATACTTAGTCAAGGTGTGTGAATAACGAAGATATTAGACAAAGCACACAATTAATTTACATATAGTCGTAACCCTTTTTGAAAATCGATTGTAGTTTAATTTGATTAGGAAAATGATTTTATTGTTGGTTGAGTATTTTTTAGTGTATTAATTGTAAAAATGCTTTATTAAATGCACGATTAAAAATAATTTAATGCAATAAAATAAATAATATTTTGGATGAATTTTAGCAAATATATTTGATTTATAGTAATAATAATTAATATAATATTATAATAAAAAAATAACAAAAAAGAATTATAAAATAAAAATAATAAAGAAAAATAAATAAAATGCACGGGGTTGTAAATCTTGTTTGGCTAGTAAAAATGGGGAGTGTATACAACAGGCCCTGAATTCAGATATTGAATTCAGGCCCAAAATATAAGGGATGTATTTTTTGAGAGGCGTAGTAAAATTGGGGGTATGAGAAGTAGGGGCCCAGGTCCAGATTTTGGACTTGGCCCATTAAGCCAATAGGTGTAAATTCATGCGCTGGTTAGTAAAACAAAAGTAGGAGGGTGGGTTTAGATATGAACCAGGCCCAAAACGACAAGGAGGGGACTCGTTTGGCCAAGGTGTGGGGAGGTATACTGTAATATCATGGGTGCGCGTGTTTATGAGTGTTTGATGGGGATCTGACAATAGTGATTAAAGGCGCGTGGTAACAAAAGTGGGCTAACATGCACTGGATATTAGGACATGATATATTTGTTTTAAAATTTTTTTTACATCATTTATATTATTCCCTTCATCTTTCTCTCTCTGTACCATTATTTTGCCGCTTTCTCTCTCTGAACGCCCTCTCTTCTCTTTCTCCTCTAACAACACAAGAACCCTAAAACCGTTACCGCTCCAAATCTAATCCTCGGCAGCAACCACTTTCACCAAACCCCTAAAATCAACCACAACAACGTCTATTGCAAAGAAAACAAAAAAAAGAAAAGCTAATCAATTTGTTACCTCGTCGTGTTTTTTTGCTTCTCTGTTCCGATCTCGTTTTCATTAATCCCCCCCCCCCCCTTCTATTTGCAGGTGCACCGACAGATGGTGATGAAGACAACGATGAAGGGTGATGAAGATGAAAGTAGCGATGACAGTTCAACAAATTTAGGGTTTTGGATTTCGAAACCCAATTCTCGAGTAAGGACTTAGAATTATGAACAACAAAGCCTCAGACCTTCCTCCTTCTTCTTCCCTTCGTATATTTTCTCTCCTCTGTAATTCTTTTTTCCGTAAGTTCCCCCACGTGTCTGTTTTGTTCTTCATTTTTTATAGTATTTTTAGGGTTTATAGATTAGGAAATAAGTTATGAATTTGTCGTTTCTTCTTGATTGATTTAGGGAAATTAGAGATTGTAATTTGATTTTGTATAACAATTTGATTCTGTTTCGATTTGTATTGATTTGTTTCTATTTTAGTTCGATTACGTTCTGGAACATTTTGAATGCAAGATCTGATTCGATTTCGTTTCAATGATTTGAACAATAATTGTTCTTTTCTCTAAAGCATGCACTATTTTTTATTAATCTGAACAGTGCACGTTGTTGATTTGGTTTTGGGCCAAACACTTACTTTTGATTTGGGCCTGTTACGCGTTTAAGGGCTTTAAGTTTTTGGCCTTTCATCTAACCTAACGTTTTAAATTAATACAATAAATATAATTTCAATTAATTACAATAATAATGTTAATAATATAATAATACTAATAATCAATAATTATAATAATAATGATGACAATACATAATATATACAAAAAATTAATATTAATAATAGTAATAATTGATTATATTAATTAGTAAAAATGGAATAATAATAAAAAGTCAGAAATTGACTTCCAATTATTTTAAAAAATAGTTGGGCCATTCAAGAAAAACTTTGACGGGCCTAATTAATCAACAATGCACCAACCCCTTTTATAATTTGAAATGGACTAAAGATTTTACACGAGCCTCTAACAAATGAGTTGCTTATACACCCCTTTGATTAAAAACAAACACCTTTCACCTTTAATTAAAACAGCCCCCCTTAACATTCTAATGGACCGGTCTACTTAACAAGAACCTCAGCATACCTACGTTCCTAAATGGGCTCAAATAAGACTTAACTAACAAACCCCCTTTTTGTAAGAGAAATCGAGTGGGCTTTCAATTTCATATGGTCCTTTCTAATTTAGAAAGGTCCAAGAGCTCTTAATGAACCCTTCAAGACTTGAAATTTTACATGGGTTTTTCTGATTTAGAAAAACCCATTAATTCTCTAATAGAAAAATCATAACTATAAAGTTTGATAAAAAATGATTGAAAATCCGTAGGATAAATTTGAGGTATGACAAGATGTATTAAAGATAGTCAACTATATGTAAACTATGTCAGAGATGAATAGTAAATGATCAACTATGTGTGAACTTTGTCAGAGATGCATTGAAGATGTTCAACTATGTGTGAACTATGTCAGAAATACATAGAAGATGTTCAAATATGTATGAACTATGTCAGAGATGCACAAAAGATCGTTAATTATGTGTGAATCATGTCAGAGATCCATAGAATAATCATCAACTATGTGTGAACTATATCAAAGATGCATTGAAGATGGTCAACTATGCGTGAACCATGTCAGAGATTCATAGAATGATGGTCAACAATGTGTGAACTATTTAAGACATCCATCAGATGATGGTCAACTATGTGTGAACCATGTGAGACATCCAACAGATGATGGTCAACTATGTGTGAACTATGTCAGACATCCAACAAATGATGGTCAACTATGTGTGAACTATATCAGACATCCAACAGGAGATGGTCAACTATGTGTGAACCATGTTAGAGATTTGTAGGATGATGGTCAACTATGTGTGAATTATGTTAGAGATCCATAGAATAATGATCATCTATGTGCAAACTATGTCAGAGATTCATTGAAGATGGTCAACTATGTGTGAACCATATCAGAGATCCATATGATAATGGTTAACTATGTGTGAACTATTTAAGACATCCATCAGATGATGATCAACTATGTGTGAACCATGTTAGACATCCAACAGATGATGGTCAACTATGTGCGAACTATATCATACATCCAACAGATAATGATCAATTATGTGTGAATTATATTAGAGATCTATAGGATGATGATAAACTATGTGTGAATTATGTCAAAGATCTTTAGGATGATGATCAACTATGTGTGCATCATGGAAAATAGCCAATATTTTTCTGTAAACTTATATATTATGATGAAGAAAATTAAATTTATAAAAAAATATAAAATTTTACAAATAATCGATTATACTAGAGTAATTCAAACTAAATTGTTCAATTTTACTTATAATAAATTTATTTATTAATATATTAATTATTATTTTTTAACCATATATTTTTTATTAAAAAAACAATAATTCAAGTCAAAGATAATAATTTTTTATATTTTATTATAAATATTTAATACTAAATAAGTTTGTATTATGATAAACCTTTATATATATAATTAAAATATATAAATACCATCTGAATTTATAAATAAATAAAATTAAATAATTACTAGTGTAGATAAAAAAATATATTCTATTATATATTTACGATAAATAACTATTTAGAATACGTCTTAATTTGAAAGCAATTATAAATTTAAATTTAGTGTATAAGAAAATATAATTTTGAATTAAATTTAGTGTATAAGAAAATAGAATTTGAAAGTTTATCCGAGCATGATATTTTAACTTTTATGCATGTATTTTCAACAAATATGTATATGTGAGCACGTTTCCATTAATTTCGTTTCCCTCCTAATTCATCTTCGGTTTAAGATCTTTTCGGAGAATCTTGAAGTTATCAGGTCTACCAATAAGAGAGGACTCAGTTACAAGCTCGGTGTTAATCGTATGTTGTGTTGATTTTTCTTTGATTTTGTTTCTTAGGTTTTGTTTGGATTTGATTGAGATTGTTGCGCTGCAGATTTTGCTGATTGGACTTGGGAGGAGTTCAAAAATCATAGACTTGGTGCTGCTCACTCTTAAGACACATGCTATGGTTAGTAGTTAATGGTGAAACAATTGTGATTGGTAACAATGTTGTTGGTGAAACAGCTGTGATTGAAACAATGTTGGAATTTTGAATGATGCAGCTAAGGTGTTTGATTAAATTCCTCTTAGAACTATGTTATCATATATTGTCCTCTGCAGCACAACTGGAGCATTAGAATCAGCTTACGCACAGGCTTTGGAAATAAATCTCTCTTTCTGAGCAGCAGCTAGTGGATTGTGCTGGTGCTTTCAATAACTCTTGATGCCACGGTGGGTTGTCGTCACAAGCCTTTGAATACATTAAATACAATGGTGGCCTTGAGACAGAGGAAGCATATCCCTACACTGGAAGTAATGATCTCTGCAAATTTACATCTGAAAATGTTGCTGTTAAAGTCCTTGGCTCTGTCAACATCACCTTGGTAATAATACATTTGATTATTAATTTATTGCTTGATGTGTGTGTTAACTCTACTCTAGCTATCTATGGCTAAGTTAATTACTTAAGTTGGTTAAGCAATTAAGTTTATATTACTGTTAGTTAGAGATTGATTTGTCAGAAGCTACTCCGAGCACAACGCTCATTTGCAGGTTCCCTTTATTTTCTCTATTCATCATCTATTCACATCATGTGGTCATATTGATAATTGTAATGTTGCCTTGCATTTTCTGCAGAGGCGTGCGACAATCAGAGCACTCAAATCTCAACTTCATCTTATATATGATATTCTAATTGTGTTTGATTTTCTAATTGTCTTAAACCTTCACATTATCTTTGAATCAAGAAAATAAGAGTAAAAAATTTACATCAAAATCAATTTGATAGATGAGTTTAAAGGTTTCTTCAAGTGCTAATTTTTTCACAGATTAATATCTGCCTTTTTTTTGGACAGCTAGATGAAACATATGATATGCTAACTTCAAAGAGACCTTGTGGACCAAATAAGAAAGCTGATACTGGAGCTATGTATGATCTGGCTAAGAATGATCTATAGAAGGAGCCTTTTGAGAGTCTTTCGGACCATGCTTTTAGGAATATAGCAGACTGAGAGAGGAACCTAATTCAAAACGGTGTTTGTGCTCTTCGTGGAACTTGATAAATTAAGTACGATTCTATTGGGAAAATAGTTGCAGGTTACTGGATTTTGTGTATATAGATATAGGTAATATGTATGTATCTGTGTACATTATTTGATGTTGAGATGTATTGTTATACTTTTGATTGACAGGTTAATGCTTATGGAGATTCCTACACAAGTTGTCCTTTGCAGGATTGGCATATTTATACAGATTTATAGGAATATTGCCTGTAAGGCTGTAACTGACACAATATTCTACGTAATAATATTATTGATTGGCAAATAAGTCAACTATGTGGCTTATGTACACCTTGATTGTAGAATGTAGAACTAGTACATAATATTTGAGCATTCCTCTTCCGTTGGATCTAAAGTGGTTCAAGCTTCACATGCTTTAGTTGAAAGCTGACACGTTGTGTAAGTGCTAAAATAATCTTGTATTGATAATACTTATTGAGTTGAGAGAGCAGTCACTCAAGTTTCATGCATTTCTTTTGGCTTTTTTTCTTAACAAAACTACACACTAATATTGAAGACCACAAATATTACAAGCATGGAAAAGCTTCATTGGTCACATGGTAAGCTTGATAGATCAGACATCTTTTTTATTATAATTAAGAAAAGAGAAAAGGTTAAGAATACAATCTTAGTCGAACAACTCAAAAGCATGATACAGTTGATTGAGGGATAAAGGGTCCAAAACTTGAGCAATTTGTAACACATATTTACAACATCTGTCTCCAAATAATTACCAACACATGTTTACAACCTTTCAAAAATTACAGACATTTCTGTTAATTGTGAAAACATTTTGTATTTTCTATTATATTAAATTTGTGTTAATTTTACTTATTATAATGAGAAAAGAGAACTTTTATGTAAACAAATGTGTACTGAACCAGAATCAACTACAAAACATCTCATATTTGAATTGCCAAACTTGAGCACCTGCACCCAACCGGTTTCTCTTTGCAGATTTGTAAACAATGTTCAAAATTGTTTCGTACATCTTTTCTCAGGCGGATATGGTGAAGTTCTGGTTCATTTTTGATAATCCGTATTTGGAGAACAAGACCGAATCCGTTAGTACTTCGTCAGCATCTTCAATCTTCATCTTCAATAGTAGTATCATTAGAGGTCAATGGATTGTAGTCTTACAGGTAATGTTGTCCACCTTTTTCTGATTTCACCAAGCTCATTTCTTTCTTTATCTCCCCCACCAAAATAACAACTTGAAAATGCTAGCATATCTGGTTCAAACCTGCAATAAATCAAATATTGAACGAGGTTGTTAGTGGTAATTACCATGGATCCTTCGCACATCCTACACTCTTGCCATCTATTCCATTTCAAACTTTGGAATGAAGCAAGAAGTTGTTAATAATATATTAATTTTATTGACTTGCATGAGAAATATGATTTTGAGGTTCCCTTCGCGTGCATAACAAACCCAAAATATAACTAAACAAACTTAAAAGATGTTGCATTTATTCACACGATTAAATGACTTTCAATTTCAAAACATTGTAAAGAAGTTGTATAGAAAAGAAAAACATCAAACAAACCTCAAATGGACTGCTATGAACCGACGTGACATCTTCTGCATTCTAGTAACAGTTGTTTGACCAAGTTCTTGTATAGGTTTTGTAAATCTCAAAGCATGAAAATTAACACGGCATCTTAGTTTTTGCAACTCATCATCAAGGTGATTCGCAAGTCTAAAGTCAAACTTTGTCGATTGTACAACCTGCGACATCTCCTAAAAGTTAGTTACTAAATCACCTTACCACAGCCAAACAAAGATGGCAGATCCTAAAACTCTCATCTTATTCTGTTAATCTATAGGGGAGCAACTGAGATGGCAGATCCTAAACAAAATTCTCATTTCAGGACCTATCATATTGTGAAACTTGTGTCCTACTTACCCCGGTTCTTTGTTACTCAACTCAAAATACAAGTTAGCAATGGAAAAGTTCGTATATTACTCAACTCATTCTTAAGAAGATCTTCAGTTCACAAACAAATCAAAATACAAAACGGAGGCTCTTAAATCTATTCACAAGTTTACTAACACATCACACCTCAAATGAAAACATGCCATATAATATAAACCAAATTTTCAGCACATAAAAAGGGCTTAGCTAAAAAAGTCTTTCAAGAACAATATTTGTTTCACTTGCACTCAAACCCTTTTTGGATGAACAACTTAATTATCAGTTTATGCATAAACTATTTCTATAATAAAAGATATAACAAAGTTATGTTGATTTTGTACAAGCTATAAGTTTTTTTCATAAGCTATTCTGGAGAACTTTTGAAATTAAACTGAAAATAACTTATTAACATATTATAAGCTATTTTCATAAGTTTTTCCAATTAGATAAGCTCAAATAAGTTATAATTCAAATAGACCCTAAATACATAGATATTTAGAATTATACGATTTAGCAATGTCACAAGTAATGTGGTAGAATTAGATATGAATCCTACGTTCACAATGTTATCCATTTCCTTAAATACATTTCAAAAACTATGGGAAAAAAAACACAATCACTCACTCTTAACCGATACAACAAACTAACAATGAAAATAAACAGAAATGCAATTCAAATTCACAATTTGAATCTTAGCAAAGTAGTTGTATATTCTTGTTAGTTGGTTAATTCTTGTTAGTTGTTATTTGAATTTTAGTTTGTATTTGCATCTGGGCATGTTGCCTATATAAAGGGTCATTACTTTGTAATAAATACTGCAGTAACAATAATAACAGTTTCAGTTTTAAGAGTTAGTTACACTAACTAACTCAACAATCTCTCTCTCTTCTTCTTCTTGTTTTTCACAATATTCATCTTTCTTGAATCCTTTGTTCCAACAAATTGGTATCAAGAGCTTGTTTGCGATTCAGAGAGAATCTAATGACAAACAGATCAACAACCTCAACACAATTTCCAGCAAATCTTCCGGTTTTCAAAGGTGAAAACTATCAAAGATGGGTGGCACAAATGAAGGCTATTTCCAGATTTCAAGATGTTGTAGAAATCGTGAATGATGAAATGTCACAACTGGAGGAAGATGCCACGAAAGCCCAGAAAGCTGCACACAAAGATTAGAGGAAGAAAGATGACAAGGCGTTGTTCTTGATTCACCAGTGTGTGGATTGTGATGTGTTTGAGAAGATGATCGAAGAAGAAACAATAAAAGGAGCTTGGGAAAAGTTGAAGTCGTTGTATGGTGGAGATGAGAAACTGGAGAAGGTGAAGTTGCAGACTCTGAGAAAGCAGTATGAGATGCTGCAGATGAAAGAGAATGAATCCGTCTCAGCATATTTCTCAAGAGCGGTGATGCTAACAAACCAGATGAAGGCGTGTGGTGAAGCACTAACGAATCTGCAGAAGATAGAAAAGGAATTAAGATCTCTAATTGTAGATTTTGATTATTTTGTTGTAACAATCAAAGAGGCCAAGAATCTATCTGAGATGAAGTTGGAAGAACTTCAAGCTTCTTTGGAGGCTCATGAAATGAGGCTGCAGCAAAGAAACTCAGAAAGGGAGAAGACAGCTGAACAAGCATTGCAATCAAGATTCAGCAAGAAAGCTGGAAAAGAGAAATTGAAGCAGCGTAAGAATCTTGTTGGTGATGAGAAGTCAAGCAAGAATACTGATTCGAAAGGAGTGGGCAACAAGTATTTTGGGAAGAAAGTTGACACGAAAGGGGTGCAATGTTACAATTGTCAAGGTTTTGGCCACTATGCTAGAGATTGTCGAAGCAAGAAAGCTGCAAGGTCGAAAGATAGTGATGAAGCTCAATATGCACGAGCTAGAAGTAGTGATTATGATGATGTGTTATTGCTGATGAACACTCAATCGAACATTGAGAAAAACAACATGTGATATCTAGATTCAGGATGTAGCAACCACGTGACTGACAATAAAAACTGGTTTACCAAGTTAGATGAGTCAGTCGAAAAGGTGATAAAGTTTGCAGATGGCAGGCATATCAAATCAGGTGGTAAAGGAGACATTTCGATTATCAAGAAGGATGGTCGAAAGGCTACTATCACCGAAGTTCTGTATGTACCTTCGATGACAAGTAACTTGATAAGTGTAGGTCAATTACTTGCAAAAGGCTTCAATATGAAGTTGGAGAATAATCAGATGAAGGTATATAGGGCTAATGGGAGGCTAATCACGAAAGCACCATTGGCGGAGAACAAAACCTTCAAAGTCGAGCTCAACACATCAGATGACAAATGTCTTGCTTCAACTGCAGAAGAAGACAAGAACTGACTATGGAATCACAGGTATGGACATCTAAACTTCAAAAGTTTATGTATGCTCAATCAGAAGAAAATGGTGCTTGGGTTACCGTATGTGAAGGAACCAAAGCATATATGTGAAGAATGATGCAAAGATAAGCAGGCAAAGAAGACATTCAAACGTGATTTTCCTATAAGGTCAAGGCAAAAACCGGAACTGGTTCATTCAGATGTGTGTGGGTCTTTCAAAGTAAAGTCCAATGGAGGTAACAAGTATTTCCTTACTTTCATTGATGAATCACTAGACACATGTGGATTTACCTCATTGAGAGGAAGAGTGAGGTATTCACACAGTTCAAGAAGTTCAAGTTGCATGCTGAGAACAAAGTGGCTGCAAATTGAAAAGGTTAAGAACTGATGGTGGTGGTGAATATACTTCAGTAGAATTTTCCAGATTTTTCAATGAGGAAGGTATAAAGCATGAGGTTGTTGCATCCTATACGCCTCAACATAATGGCATCACTGAGAGAAAGAATAGAAGTGTACTGAACATGACCAGATGTATGTTGAAAAATAAGAATATGCCTAAGAGATTTTGGGCTGAAGCAGCTTCGACAACAATATATATTCTAAACAAATGCCCAACAAAGAAGATGGCTTGGACAGGGTCGAAGCTAAACGTAAGTCATCTTAGAATTTTTGGATCAATGTGTTTCAGACATGTACTTGAACAATTGAGAAAGAAGTCGGATGATCAAAGTGAAGTCATGGTGCTCATAGGTTATTATTCGACTGGTGCATACAAGTTGTATTCACCAATCGAAGATAAACTAGTGATCAGTAGAGATGTTCTTGTAGACGAAAGCAAAGGATGGGATTAGAGTAGTAGTGCAGTTCGACAAGAATCAGACACAATCACAATTGTGTTCGAAGAAGATGAAGCTTCGACAAGTCAAAATGAACAAGGTGATACTTTAACTGGTCGAAATGAAGAACCACCTGTGCAGAACGAAAGAAGATCCACAAGAACGAGAATTGGGTCAACTAGGATGACTGGATATGAGAGGTTTCCAGATCAAGCAATAGATGCTGATGATGACTTAATCGAAGAAGCCATGATGATGGCTGAAGCAGAACCAATTGACTTGGGTGAAGACTTGAGCAATTCGAATTGGTGTGACGCCATGAAAGAAGAACTTAGAGCCATTGAGAAGAACAACACTTGGAAACTTGTCGAAAGAACCAACAAGAAACTAATTGATGTGAAATAGATCTACAAGGTGAAACGAAGGCCAGATGGTGAGATTGCAAAGTACAAGGCAAGACTGGTGGCCAGAGGTTTTCTACAACAACCAGGTATTGACTTCAAATAAGTGTATGCGCCTGTTGCTAGGATCAAAACAATCAGGATTGTTGTTTCGATAACTGCATATAGAGGATGGATAATGCACCAACTTGATGTGAAATCAGCATTTTTGAATGGGCCTCTGAAAGAAGAAGTCTATGTCACTCAACCACCAGGCTTCGACGTCAAAGGGCAGAAGTCAAAGGTTTATAGATCGAGGAAGGCTCTCTATGGCTTGAAGCAAGCTCCTAGAGCTTGGAATAAAAGGATAGATAGCTTCTTAATGGAAGCAGGGTTCACAAAGTGTGTCTCTGAACATGGAGTGTATGTAAATGATGTCGAAAGTGCCAATCGAATCATTTTATGCCTCTATGTTGATGACTTACTCATTACAGGAGCAGATGAAGCTGAGATAATGAAGGTAAAGTCAAAGTTAATATAGGAATTCGAAATGTCTGATTTAGGGAATCTTTTCTACTTCCTGAGAATGGAATTCAAAGACATCGAAGGAGGAGTTTTCTTGCATCAAACGAAGTATGCTCAAGATATATTGAAGAGGTTCAATATGAGCAACTGTAAGACAGCTATTACTCCATTAGAGACTGGAGCAAAGCTGAAGAAGGAATCAAATGATGAATGTGTAAGTTCGACCCTTTACAAACAAATCATTGGATTATTGAGGTATCTTTGCAATACTAGACCAGATATCTGCCAAAATGTAGAATTGTTGAGCAAATTTATGAAGAAGCCTCAATTATGTCATCTCATTGCAGTAAAGAGGGTGTTGAGATACATCAAGGAAACTGTTGATCATGGTGTGTTGTTGCCAAAAAGATCGAAGAACAATACAGAGGTCGAAGTGCATGGATGCACTGACTCAGATTTCAGTGGAGATCAAGATGAAAAAAAGAGTACTGCAGGGTACATTTTCATGATCGAAGGAGCTCCAGTCTCCCAGAGTTCGAGGAAGCAAAGCATCGTGGCTTTGTCTTCATGCGAAACAGAATATGTGACTGCATCATATGCTGCATGCCAAGCAGCATGGATCAAAATGCTACTTGAAGAGCTCAGAATAATGGAATCGAAGATGAAGCTCTTTGTTGATAACAAGTCAGCAATAAATCTTACGAATCACCCAATGTATCATGGTCGAAGTAAGCAAATTGAACGAAGGTATCATTTTTTGAGAGACCAAGTAAACAAAGGAAAGCTTGAAATAGAACATTGCAAGACAGGAGTGCAACTAGCTGACATATTCACCAAACCTCTGAAGAAAGTGAGATTCGAAGAGTTAAAGAAAGGCATTGGGATGAGAAGTCTTGATAACATGAATTAAAGGGTTGTGTTAGTTGGTTAATTCTTGTTAGTTGTTATTTAGACTTTAGCTTGTATTTCAGTCTGAGCATGTTGTCTATATAAAGGGTCATTACTTTGTAATAAACACTACAATAACAATAATAACAATTTCAGTTTTAAGAGTTAGTTACGCTAACTAACTCAACAATTTATCCCTTCTTCTCTCTTTTTTTGTTTTTCAAGATATTACCTTTCTTAAATTCTTTGTTTCAACAATTCTTACCTTTAACCTGCAAAAATCTTGGTCATGTTACCATTGTTGTTAAGGTGCATAGTATAATAATATAGACACTCAATCCAACAGCTCATATTTATTTGAGCAAAGTGAGAGGCCAATCATAGTTGCGCACAGGAGAGGGCACCTTATCGTATAGGTTAAATAGAATAAACACAGATTTTCCAATTTGTCATACTTTTTGTTGATCATAGTGAATTGTGATTAAATATGATAACTATACTTTTTGTTTGTGTAGAAAAACTAAATTAAACTATAAAATTCTTACATAAATCTCACAAATAAGACCGACATGATATGCTAGTAGGTAGAAGAAAAAAACTTAGTACTAGTGTAATTTAAGCCTTATCCATTTTAACCTTTCACAAGTTCTACTTTCCACATACTCCCACAGACACACCGCACGTGTCATCTCATGAATCACAAAACAACAAAATCGTTTATGCTTCCCGATAAACACATCAACACGTGTTCATGTACGTGGCAACTCAAAGTTAGCACGTGTCAGACATTTATATTCCAAGATCATAATCAACGACACAATCCATAGATTTTTGGTTCAAATCCAGTACTTCAGTTCGCCTATAAAAACATTACGTTTCGTTTCATCATTCACAAAACAAATTTCATCCCAACAAACAACACCATTAAGAATTAAGAATAACAATCACGAATTCACAATGTCTCAGTATCAAAACCAATATGGTGCTCAAACTGGTAACACCGATGAGTATGGAAACCCAGTGAACCAACTTGATCAATATGGCAACCCTGTTAGTGGCGGTGGGTACACAGGTGAAGCCGGTAGACAACATTTTGGAACTACCGGTCATGGTCATGGTCAACAACATCGTGGAGTTGATCAAACCACAGAGTATGAGACCCAGACAGGTGGTGCGGGTGGTTATGGAACCAAGCCTGAGTATGGAAGCACCAACACAGGAAGTGGTTATGGTACAGGAACAGGATATGGTGGAACTGGAACCACTGAGTATGTGAGAGAGGAGCATCACGGAGATAAGAAAGGAGTTATGGATAAGATTAAAGAGAAGATCCCTGGTACTGAAGAATCAAGAACTAATACTGAAGGGACAGGGTATGGAACAACAGGTTATGGAGCTAGTGGAGGTGGCATCGGAAACACTGGTGAACAATATGTGAGAGAGGAGCGTCATGTTCATCCTGGAAATCAGAAACATGGAAGCACTGGTGAAGAGTATGTGAGAGAAGAGCATCATGGCATTGGAGGCACTGGTGGTAAAGAGTATGTGAGAGAGGAGCGTCGTGAAAATCATGGAGAGAAGAAAGGGATTATGGACAAGATTAAGGAGAAGCTTCCTGGTACTGGAGGATGTACTGGACACTAGATCATCATCATCATCATGATTAATATCTATAGATATATGCATATGACCAATAATAAATAAGCTTTTGGTTTGAGTAGTTTGTTTCATCTGTGATGTATTTTATAATTTCATGTAAAAGATATATATATAAGGTGGGTCTATAATAATGGATATTAGGTTGTTAGAACCTAATATTCACTATAGAACTTTCAATAGATGAAGTGCGTAATACTATCACTTGATATACCATAGTTCAATGTTATTATATGTTTGTTATAATAGTTGTAAAACTATTCGAGGATCATTATAAATAGAGGGCGCAACTATATCAATGTACTTTTTTAAGTGGAAAAGCATATATATAAAGAAGTGAACAGCGTAGATAAATTAAGGTCATCTAGATAGATAAGCTATGCAGCAGTGACCTATCTGAATATTCGTGTAGTTAATTTGCATTTAATTTGTGAATTTTTTTTTTTTGCAAGAAATTCAGAGATTGATGAAGTTAGTTTATATTTCGAATTATGAAATAAACTTATTAATCAAAATATAGTTTAAGATTTTATATTTCGACTCTTATCAGTAATTTTGGCACTTAAGACGGATAGTGAAGAGTTTGAATTCGAATATTCATTCTTATTTAGAAGGACACGTGAAATCTTTTAGATTATCGAAGACATGTCAGCGGAAACGTGACATTAGTTTATTAGGAGACCGTTAAGGTCGAAGTTCTATAAATTATAGCTTTTGTATTTTGATTTAGTGTATTCACATCTTTGTACAAAATACTCAAAATATTTAAAGTATCAGCGTTCGAGAAAAGAGTTAATTTTATATTCAATGTCATTTATATTCAATAAAATATCTTTACGTTATTTACAATTCTCAGTCTAAATTAGTTTATATTTCATTACTTTTATAAAGAAGTTTCACTTCGATATGCGAAGTGATTTCTTTTGTTTAAAGAGATTATCATCAAAACATGCTTATCATCAAAATATGTTTTCTAAATAATTGAACACAATAGTTCTGAGATCAATTTGATCAATCTCGTGAGTAACTGAATCTGTTAAAGGATTTAAGGATCAATGATTGCTTATCAAATTTCAGGATAAACAAATTGGCACGCCTAGTGGAACTGTGTCTAGTATTTAATTTCCCCCCAATAATATGTGTTTCCTAACTTGTTTTGTTGCATGAGATTAAGAAGTGGAAAATTAGCCAATACCACAGATACTATATCAAAAAAGCAATACAATACGAAAATGGTTAACCCACCCGTTAGCGATGTACAACAAGTTTCTCCTCCCGCAGGAGGAAATACGAGCGCTTCAAATACAACCGAAGCCATGGCAACAAGTCAAGGGAATGCGATTATCCCCTCGACTACAAATGCTACAGTCATACCTCCAAATACAAATGCTTCAGCCATATTATCAAACACACAAAATAAACCTATTATAATGTCTGTGGCCAGTCAAATTCCACCTGTAACCCCCAGACCTTCAGTAGGCAGTGTCTCTAGAACATATGCATTAGGATTCACAATCCCAACATCAGATCCAATATATGGCATGCTAACTTCGTTCATGGCAGGACTTCAAAATAACACTTTGACATATACACGTCCTTTAACATCTGCCTTTTCGCCATTACAAAGATCAGGTTCAAGGGTAAATCATATGGCACGAAATAATTCGCAGTCAGGATATGTTTCTCAATTGCCTCCTATTACCACAAATACATAGGCAGTTTTGAGGCAACAGATGAATGATAGTAACCATGAAATTGTAAGAGTACTCGACCAGTAAATGAGTACAATTTTTAACCCTTTAATCTAAAGTACCACACAGACGAACTTGCAGAATGCCCAAGCAAACCAACAAATGGAAGCACAAATTGGGCGCTTTGCAGATTTCTTTGGTGCACCCAGAGAACCAACTCGACAACCACAACCTACATGGATAAGGGAGAATCACGACGTCGTGTTTTAAGAAGAACCAGCCATTGACCAGGCCCAACCAGTGATACACCCAAAAGTTGAAATTTAACAACCAGTTCGAAGGGAAGAACCACCCAGATTTCAACAGGCTATTTCCAGGGAGGAATCACGAAGAAGGGTAGTCATGGTTGTTGTACCCCAAATTTTGACCTAAGATACCATCTCCCATCTGTATCATTACATTGCAAGGGTTTTGACCTATTTTTATCAATTTTCAAAGCGGATTTTAAATTCATAACTTTTTCAAGTCGAGAGCTGTTTATTTTTTTGAACGCTAAATTTATTAATCGATCAATGATCAAACAATGTTTATTTAATTATTTATTATTCTGAATTTAAATAATTGGAATTTACTTTCAGTTGTTATAAATTAAAGAATTATAAATAATAAAATAAATATTTGAAAGGAAGTTTATTAATTGATCAAACAATGTTTATTTAATTATTTATCATTCTAAATTTAAATAATTGGAATTTATTTTCAGTTATTATATAATTTAGAAGAATTATAAATAATGAAATAAATAATTGAAGAGAAGTTAATTGATCAATGATGTTTATTTAATTATTTGTCATTCTAAATTTAAATAATTGGAATTTATTTTCAGTTATTATATAATTTAAAGAATTATAAATGATAAAATAAATAATTGGAAAGAAAAAAGAATTAACTGGTAAAATATTGGAGTTTTATTCATTTTATTCTAATTGTTACAATTGTTGTTCAAATACCGTATTTATTTACAACGTATTTACAATGATAATTTTTACAATGTTTAAAGTGAAATAAAAGCTATCCTAATTTTTTCTAAGTTCTAAATCTTCATCTTCTATCCAATGCTTCTTTGATGATCATTTGATTTTACCTGCAAAAAAATTAAAAGAAAAGTCAGAAATGAATATATAATTAAAAGCAGAAAATTAATTTAGCGTTCATCATTAAAAGCAAACGGCTGGAATCAGTTTTTACCCTCTTTGCAAATCACGGGATTTCTCCCGGTTCACAAAAAGGGATGAATTTTATTGACAAATATGAATGCACAAGTTAAAATTATGCACAAATTCAATATTTCAAAGTAAACAGCATAATCCAAAATCAATTGCACATTTTCAAAAGCCAACTGCATATTTCAAATAAAATGCATAGTTCAACAACATATGCAATTTTCAAAGCCAATATGCAACGTAAACTACCCAAAGTGTGGGAAGAAGTCAAAACACAAGGCTCCATGCTGTACAATGCAGTTGACAAAGAGACATGTGCAGTTTAAAACCAAATATGCAAGCAATATATTTCTAATTTTCATCATTTTCCAGCTTTGCTTTTTCAGAACTTAAAAGTACATAACATCATTTTAATGTCAAACTGTACTAAGGAGAGAGAAGAGAGAAAGAGTGTGGGTTTTACAGGTTTTGGCTTAGGCAGAAAAGGGATAGAAAACAAAAACAACAGTAACACAGTAAAGAGAAGGAAGCATAGAAAAAGAATATAGACAAACTGAATGAAGCAGTAGAGTGCAGAGGTCAAAGGCAAAAAAAAAATAGTAAAAGTATTCAGAACCTGAGCCATCAAACAATAAGCCAGCAAACTGTTATAACAACAAAAAGCCCCTTTCAAAAAGTAGAGAGAGTTGACAACCTGTTTTCAAGCCTTCAAAACAAAACTGTCAAAAACAAATACTAAGCCAATTCTCAAAGTACCAAAAAACAAACCTCAAGAACCTACTGTCCCAAGCCAAGTATCAAAAACCATGGCCTGAAAAAACCAGTAAACTACCTACTGTCCAGCCAAAGCCTTGACTCTTTCAAAACAACAATCAATATGGCCTAAACCATAAAACCTGTTCAACCTGTTTTCGAGTTCAAGACAATAAACCAGCAAAACCATAACCATGTCAAACCTGCCCAGCCCAAAAGCCTAAGCCATAGAAACCATAACCAGTAAACACAACCTGTTAGACCATGCCAAACCTGAAACGAGTTTCACCAACACAAAAACCAGTAAAACCTTAAGCCTTTCAAACCACAACCTGTTGAAACCTGTAAAAGCCTTAAGCCCTCAAGGCCACAAACCTGAAACCATAACCATTTCAAAGCCTAACCAGTAAACTCAAGCATACTGTCAAACCATTTCAAGTAAGGCCTAAACTTATACCAAGGCATCCAGGCAACTCAAAGTCAGAAAAGAGGCCTCAAGGCAACCAAACCCAAGCATACAGAAGCAAATCAAAAGGAGGAAGAAGGAAAGCTAATCAAAACAAAAATGTTCCAACAATAGCATGTTCAAGGCAACGCAAAAGCCTCACAAATATTCATCATAGGCCAGTAAAAAGGGAAACCGAAGCACATCAAAGAAGAAGAAGGAAAAGAAGCGTGTACAAGCAAAGCAAGGCAGGGTCAACAGAAGAAGAAGAAATAATCACATAGGGTTTTCAACAACATCATCAAACCACAAAACAAAAATAAGAAACGAAATACCAGGGTCAAAGTAGCTAGCGCGCCTCCGCCGTCTTCCCCTCGCCTTGGCCTCCTACGCGTAACGCCCAACCTTTCTTCCTCCGTCTCCAAAGGTAACGATTTCCCCCCTCTTTCTTTCAAATGCCTCAATTAGCCATAATAATTTGAAGTCAGAATCAACATGGATTAAAGATCATAACATGCAGTAACAAAAAACCCTAATGAAATAAATGAAGTTTTGTACCTTGAGTCTGTCGCCCTAACGTTTGGTTGGAGGGAAGAAGAAGCTTGGAGATGCCGGTGGCCATGGGAAAGGAACTCAGAGGCGAGGGCATGGGAGGTGAAAAAGACGAAGTGAACGAACGAACGCCACTTCTGTGCAAACCCTAAGCGTTATCGAAGTGAACGAACAGCGCAAAACCTTAACCCTTTTTTCCCTAATGAAAACAAATTTTGTTTAACCCTAAACATTGTGAAAGTTGGGCTTAACCCTTTTCCTACCTAAAAGCCCAGCGAAATTCCTTAGAACACCCCCCATCCCTTTTTCTGATTACCCCTGATT